TCCCGGGGCACACTCCTAGGTCAGTGACAGAGATGGAGGGGGCAGGTGACTCCTCCAGCACTCACCTGTCCCAAACGACTTTTCAGTTCTCTCCTAGTGACACGCAAGCACCGCCCCCATCCCATGCACCCTGTGATGGGCGTTCTATCCTCCAATCAGGATGAAAAAGCTGGGCGGGGCAGAACGTTCTCCGTTCACCATATTGAAGACTGGTAAATCGCAGAGCCGCGCCCCTTTTCTGACATCACTTCCGTCCGCAGACCACAGCATGCCGTTTCTCCACCCCGACTCCTCCCCTTGCAATGACGTCACCAGGGAGTTGTGAAATATGCGGCTTTTATCAGATGTTTATTCTCACTTTCCCCAAAGACTGTACAGTGGAGTCCCTTTCATTATTCGTGTTGGCAATGACAAATTCTAAATCGGTTTTCTCCATCAGCTCTCCAGTTACTGACAGATATATTAACTCTTTCCCAGATTGTCTGTCCTGGTGTCACCAAGACAGGAAGTGATGGGAAATGCCTCTGTCTCTGCCCCTCCAACAATGGTGAGATTTCCTCTTGCACCATTTTTCTTTTTCATTAAAATAGCCACCAAATCACAATAAGCTGAATCACCGAAAGCTTCAAATAGAAGTGAAAGAACGCTTGGCTGTGTAAACAGCTACAATAGTGTCAACTCTGTTACATTCCTGTCTGGGTGTGGCTGCAAGGGACAGAACCATTTGCTTTAAAAGGGTCCAAAATTGCAAGAGCCGGGGGAAGGTTTCTGCCAAAACGTAGTGGTGGCTTTGTGTGTAAAGTGCCCCTCCCTTTTAGATTGTAAGCCCTCAGGGGCAGGACCCTCCTTACCGTCTTGAATTGCATTGTTTGTAATGTCTTCCTGATATTGTCAGGTGCTGCGCAAACTGTTGGCGCTCTATAAATCCTTTATAATAGGTCAACTACAAAGTTACACACCCCAGTAAATGTTCTCAGTTGGGGTATGAGAAGTTTGCACAAGCAGCACTTCAGGTTTTTCCTGCATCTCTGTCTGCTGGGAACTGTGTTGATGGGCTTTTGACTTGCTTCAAGCAGGTTATAGGCTCCCATACAAGTGTATAGAGATACAAAACCCACTTGAGGCAAGTCCCTTGCAGTTCTGATGCTTCCATCAATGAATTCCCAATGGTCCCCACACCACCGCCACCAGTCCTCTCACCTTCAACCAACTATTCTACTGGTCCTCAACCACTTCATCCGCACCACAAGTCCTGTCCCCTTCAGCCAGTCTACTGGTCCTCACCCCCACCACCAGTCCTCCCCTTCACTCTACTGGTCCTCACCCCTGCCACCAGTCCTCTCCCCCTTCAGCCATTCTACTGGATCTCAACCCCTTCAGCCAGCCATTCTACTGGTCCTCACCCCCAGTCCTCTCCCCTTCACTCTACTGGCCCTCACCCCTGCCACCAGTCCTCTCCCCTTCAACTAACCATTCTACTGGTCCTCAACCCCTTCAGCCATTCTACTGGATCTC